TCACTTCTCTCTCTCTCTCTCTCTCTCTCTCTCTCTCTAACTTGTCCACTACTCTTTCTCTCTCTCTCTCTTGTCCATTTTTCACAGCAAGTGCCGATCTCTTCTTGCCCTAATTTCCTTATTTTCTTGCCCTAATTTGTTATGCAATTCCCTAAATCTTGCCCTAGTTTCTTCCACTCCTGGTCTAAGCTCCGATGTTCATGAGTTTATAGGGTTTCCTTTGTTTCTTACAGAGAAGAAAGAGAAATTTAATTGCAGGATATGCAGAAGACTGCTCAAGCCTGGTTCATGGGTGGACCCAGTGGGAGTGATCAGCAAAAGCCTTCTTCCTTGTTAGCTGACTGGAATTCATATGCAGCTTCTAGATCAGCTGAGGAAGATGCTTCCTCTGGTATGGGGTTTGATCTTGAGGCAGCAGTTCCTGGATCATTCGCGCCATTGTTGAAGACTGCAAATGAGAGGGTCACAGGAACGTTTAATGTGTAAGTTTTGGAAATTTTCTCACTCTTCTGAGTCAATTATGATGTGAAAACATGTTGAGTTCTTAATTGAACTGTGTGATGAGGGACTTGAATGACTGGTATAATGTGCGGGAACTGTTGAATGAAGTGTCAAAATATGAGAATATTAGCATTAGGGTTTGCAAATTCTTCTTGCATCGTGATTGTAATGTGAAAACAGAGTTTGAAGCTAGGCTTTATTATGAATTGTTGAATTAGTGATCAGTAAGGGAAAACTTTGGGTTTTCAATGTCTTGTTTGATGAGATTCTAATGACGAAGAATTGTGATAAGGTTTCAGAGTTGTTCTTGAACTAATATTCCTAAAAGTGGAGTCTTGTTGATTAGTTTTAAAAATTGTTATTGCAATTAGTTATGAGATTAATTATCAAATGTTTAAACTTTGTGCTAATTTATTTTCAATGTGCTGTTTTACTTGACACTTTGTGTAGTTGCTCTTTTTCTCTTTCCTTTTACTCTTTGCCTTAGTTTCTGGATCAGCAACAAGCATTGAGTCATTGACAAAGTCAAAACTTATATGATTTCATCCATTGTTTCAAAATTTGATAAGACCTTTTGATTATTGTAATATACAATTATGGTAATGAATAATGTCATCCTGAATCTTGAAATTGGAATGATCATAAAATGGCAATCGATAAACTTATGTTTCAATCTACGTGAAGTATGCATATTGTAAACAAAGAGGATGATGGGAAAGGGGCTGGTGTCCTGGTGGTAGCACCCCACACCCTAGTCACCACATTGTGGTTTCCGTTCCCACCATTAACGCCACGTCACTAATACTTTCAAAAAGCTAACTACTAATCTACTTGAAAAAACGGGTAGGGGCCTGTCTTCCCCACTGAATGACCCAAAAAAAAAAAACAGGATGATTACAGATTCTCCTTTATCTATGAATATTATTTAAGTTTAAGACCCTTGTCTATCTTTATAAGGCAAAAAAGAACTTATCTTTCAAAGAAGACAACAAGACTATATTTTGTTTTCCCGATTCATTTATTGTGCTAAAAATTAATGCCCATTATTATTTCCTGTAAAAATCCCCATGAAGGGGACGTGCCAAAGAATTCTTGATGATTACCTTGCCGACAATATACCGATTATCACCAGTAATGGTATTTTAATCTTATGATGTTTGAATTGTAAATTTTGAGAAGACTATCATCTTTCCCGTTTCTATGGCCATTGGACAATTAATTTATTTAGCAGAACTGTTAATCTTCATCACTTTCATTGGTTCCTATTTGGTCTTACCGTATATTTTACTTTTAGGGTTTCAAAAGGGGTGAGGGACTTGCCCGGTAACTTGCAATCTGCTACTAGCTCTGTGCCTTCTGGGAAATCCCTGATGTATTTTGGGCTGTTTTTGGCAACGGGTGTTTTCTTTGTCTTCATCGCTTTCACCATGTTCCTCCCTGTCATGGTGTTGGTGCCTCAAAAATTTGCAATATGCTTTACCCTTGGCTGTGCCTTCATTATCGGATCATTCTTTGCCCTAAAAGGCCCAAGAAATCAGCTGGCTCACATGTCTTCAAGAGAGGTAATTGTGAACCTCCATCTTATTGTTTTGGTGAAGTATAACATAATTGAATGTATGTTACACTGTACTCCAAAGGGAATCTGCCTCCATTTCTGATGACAGACAGTGGAGAATAACCTCGGTGGGTCCCAGGAGGCCGGGACATTCTCCCATTACCCTGGTTGATCTCCACAACTGTTATTGTGAACGGATGGATGACCTATGGTCTGGAACATCTTACAACATAATCCATTGGAATATGGATACTATACTCCATTTGCAACATGGTATACATACACCTTTTTCTTATTTATAATGGCACATGGATATCAGTGCTGCTCTTGAATGCTTGCTGGAATTGCCTCTCTAATTTGGAAAAATTAATTGTAGAAAAGAAAATGTTATTTTAGTGGTGGCTAATTTGTGCACCAATGTTTAATGCACGCTGCATTTCCTTTTGATTTTACTATCACATAAATATTGATTTCATTCTTGATCCCCAAAATTCTCTTTCACTTGGTTTTTTTGTCTTGTGATTTGCCTATACTTGTAAGTCTATCGGTAGCATTATTGGCCCCTATGCAAAACGTGGTCGGAAGTGATTTTCACCAAAGGGTGCATAAGTATCCAGGAGCCCTTCCTTGTGTTGAAACAGTGTTGTTGGGATCGGGAGCGGGAGTGATAGAGGGATCAGGATCGGGAGCGAGGGATCATGAAATGCTAGAAGATCGCTATGGTTGGGAACGCCGTCCGTACAATGCTTATGTTAGGGATCGAGATTCCAACCTTTTGGGGATCTTGATCCCAGCCTTTTGGGATCTTGATCCCAACTTTTTGGGGATCTAGTTACCAACCGTAAAGTGTATAATAATCAAGGGTTATGTATACTCTTTAAAATAGGGATCTCATTAGTTATAGCAAGCAAGCAATATTTGTGTTGTTAGTTGGCTATAAACAAAGAAAATCCTTAGTTTGGTTGTTGTCTTAGTCTTTAAGATTGGGATCGATATCCCTAGCAGCAAGATTCAGGATCCTTTTCTGTGGGGTACGAGATCCCAAAAATTTAAAATTCGAGATCCCTTAGAGATCCATTCTGGGAGCGACAGAATCGAGACTCTAGAAGGGATTGCCTACTAAAGTAGGAGATCCTGGTAACTATGGTTTGAAATTCAGTGACACTTAACAGCTTAAGAAATCCTCTTCCATTAGGATGAGACAGTGGAAGTTTCTGCGATACAATCTATTAGGCTCATCTTCGGATTAGGAGTCTCAATTATAACGGAGTCAGAAGGCCTTTTGGGCTTGCAAAGTAGGTCATGATTGGCTTGTATGCTTCCTAGCTGCTCCAAGGTTATCTTTTCTAGGAGTTCTTTCGATTTCATTTCTTAAAATAGTATTAGACAAAACTTCACATTTACTGCAAAACTTAAAAAGTTGAGTTACATGCTATTTGGTCAGTGGTTTAAACCAAAGTTTGGGAGTTTGGTACAGTTTGGTCAGGGGTTGAAACCAAAATTTCTGATGATAATTATTTTTAAGGTCATCTGTGCTTTGTGCTTTTATAATATGTTGTCTATGATAATTTTAAAATTATAGATTCTTTTATATTATTGAACATGCTAGTAGAGAGGATTGATGAATCAAATGTATAATTGGTATATTTTTTTCATTAGTAAATGTATAAATGGTCGTTAATCTGCCGTGATTGAAAATTGAAACTATTTCAGCAGTCCCGAACCATTACTGCAGAGGCATTGGCCTTTGATTTGGATGCCTTCCGCTGCTCAATGCATGTGAACAGTCTACGATGAGTAGTTGATTGGTGCGCATTTGCAGCATTGGAGTTTCAAAGTCCCCAGCTCCCCCTTTAACTCTTTTCATATCTGTTTTATTTTCTTTAGATGCTGGGGTCTCATGTTTGTTTATTAGTTCTTTTCTTCTTGGTCTTTGAGAGGATTAACCGTGGGAGCTCTTTCGTGGCCTTTTTGTTTCCCACCTTATGGCGAATGTGGTATTTTGTATAGAACATGAGTCGTCTATATTGTTGGATCTGTTGGAGGGTACAAGCAACTAAACAAGGATGGTAATGATGTTATTGGATGCTGGGTAGTTGTCCAGAGAGAAGATTATTGGGTGTTGGAGCTTCCTTCAGCCTTTTCAGGAAAGGGTTTAATGTAGTGAACTTGGGACGTTGCCTCTTGATGATTGGGTATCCTAGGTATTTGAATCGTTCAACATCCCTTGCCTGAGGACCATGTGAAACTGATCTTACTAAGGAGTAATAGGGTGGATTTCAAGGCCTGCAAGTGGAATCATGTTTCAATGTTTGTGGTTCATTCAAGGTTTTACGGGTTTCACTGCCACGTCAATGATGTCCAAGGTAAATCCTCGTGGTTTAATATGCTTGTATCACCACTCCATGGTCTTCTCTTTCTTTCATTGCTCTGGATGAGTGGCTCCATTGGTTATTGAGGGGAGTGAACTCAATATTTTGTTGGTCTCCCTTGCTCACAAGGTGTCCAAGGGTATGCTTCAGTAATCTCGACCCTTGGTATTCCCTCCTATTGGGCGTTTGGGGGTTCTCCCTCTCATTCATGAATTTCCTGGATTTTTCTTGCACTCCTTCTGAAGTATCTATCTATCTATTTTTTGCCACTTATTTCTTAAGTAAAACAGATACTAATTGGTAAGGCATTTATTCCAGACAAGATTCCTTTATATACTCTAAAAGGAGTAGTAGAAAAATCCCAGAAAAAAATGGCAGATGCTTCATTGTTAACTGATTGATAAGATGCATATTGCAGCTCCTTGAGTTTAGACTCGGAGTAACTTCCAGGAAATTTGGTCTTGAAATTAATAACCTTTGTCTCTTGCTTTTGAACAATATACGACGATGTTTCCATTGGGAAATATTCGCATGAGGCAGGGTGTCAAAGTGCTGTACCATTTATGAAGCATGAACTACTTGAAAAACTACAGGGAGTTTTATGCCATCATAGGTAATGTTGGGTTCTGAATGTTGCATGTAAATCAAGGAAAGAAGCACATGGGAAACATTTATGAACTTCAGGGAATCGTTAGGGGAGATACAAGGGAGTTGGGATACAGCTGCAATTTGGGGAATAGGTTTTTCCCCAACCTTGATTATTCCTCACACGTTTAAGATATGTAGAATCCATGGGCAATCCTCTTAACTCACGATGTCATGTAATGTTGGGTAGCCCATCCTCCTTTCTCCCCTATTGGTGTATTGGAGGAATATTCTTCTAGGTATCTAAATAATCGTGCCAAACCACTGCTAGTTGTGATGTTTTCTTTAATTTGTGTTACTTGAAAGGTTTGTCTAATTAACTGTGTTATCAAAAAGAAAACTGCATTCTTATGAGTTCCTCATACTGGAAATTGTGAATGGTGAAATGTGGACTTAGCCAATAAAAGAGTAGTGATAGGTGGTGTTTTGTTTGCTGCCTTCAGACGCTTAATTCCACCAATTCTACTTGTAATTGAACTAAAAGTTATATCCTTTGATGATTCTATTATGTTTATTTGTAGCACGTCTTGATTCTATTGGCTCTGTTTAGTTTTTTCACACTTGATGGCTTCCAATGTTCAGAAACCCCCCTCGACTAGGGGACTTACCCCCTGGCCGAGTCCATCACAGGCCCAAAAGGCCCTAAAAAAATATATAAAAAAACTAAGAAAAATTTGAAAAACAAAAAAGTAAATTCAAACCTAAAGCACCTTTAAAAAGCTAAAACAATGTTAAAAAAGTAGAGAACTTGGATCTGAAAAAACCCAAATTACAGTTTGGAATATTTTTAAAAAAATCCAAAAAAATATAAAAATGTGATTATGGCAAAAAAACACTCACCAACCTTTGCCCAAGACATCTAAATCATGTAAGAAAAAATCGTATGGAATAACTTTATTTTTTTTACAATTTTTTAATCGTTTTGAATTTGTTTAAATATCTCGAGTTTTCACACAACTCGAGGGTACTCGGTCAAGCCGAGTGGACCTAGCGAAGTCCTGGTACGCTGGTTGCTTCAATTAGCTCTGATCTTTGTCTCTCACATACTGCCTTGGTCGCAATCAAATTTTCTCACATCCTTGTTGATTTATTTCAGAGGCTTCCATTCACGCTGGGATTCATTGGCAGCATGGCTGGCACTATCTATGTTTCAATGGTTCTTCACAGTTACATCCTTTCTGTGCTCTTCTCGGCTCTACAGGTGTGTTGTCATCAAAAGACATTTTACTTTCTCATATATTTTGTGCTAATACATTGAACTCATCTCTCTCTCTCTCTCTCTCCCTCTCTCTCTCAAATTAGGTTTTGGCTCTTGGATATTATGCTATCTCATACTTCCCTGGAGGATCTGCTGGATTAAAGTTCCTTTCATCGACCATTACATCTTCAATACTTAGGTGCTTTGGCAGGTGATTTTGATGACCCATCTTCTCTCCAGCTTTTGCCTCGGATGTGTAATATAAATTTTGTCAGCTGGGATTTTAAAATGCTTGGAAACATAGTAGAATATTTCTGCAGGAAGCAGATTCGTCCACCCATTGTTGGTTTTCTAGCTTAATCTGGAGTCGTTCTCTCTCATCCACCCTATGTTACTGTTCTAGCATGATATCGATTCTCCCTGGTCTTTCTGGATTGTTGTCACTAGTCGGCCTTTCTCTCCTCTTCTTTCTGGAACAAGGCTTCTCACCCATTTAGGGAAAATGGTTCTGTAAGCAGTCTACTGCAAAGCCAGCTCATCTGAATCATCCATTTTGATCAAGCGGTGTGGCTTTCATCCAGTGCTCGACTGCGTGCCTCACTCCGCATATTGTGTGCTTGGAAGGTCCAGATTTGCTGGCCTATGTGAAGCCACGCAATAAGCCCAGCTTGTGTAGTCATTGCCCCTTATCTTAAGTCTTCTTGCACTAGTGTAGTTTAATGATTTGGCTCATATGGGTTCATTGAGCTCCACACATGTTTATGTGAGTGTTTAAATTTGGTGCCGACTCAAGCACTCGCCTGGGCGAGTCAGCTTGCTGATTCCAGGTGAGTCGGTCCTAAATGGTCAGAAAAAGGGAAAAAAGAAGAAGAAATCACTCAACGAATCGCCCAAGTCCCTACAGTGTGTAGGCCATTTAATCCAGGACAACCCTGGGCAATTCCTTGCTTGGGGATCCCGCATTCCACGTAATAAGCCTGGCATATATGGTCATCTTACCCATCTTAGGAGTTCTTGCAAGGTATTAGTTTAATGATTTGGTTTATTTGGGTTTATTTAGCTCTACATATGTTTATATGAGTGCTTGTATTGGGTGCCTACTCAGGCACTTGCCTGGGTGAGTCGGCTTTGCCGACCCCAACTCTAAGTTGGTTCCAGGTGATTCGGTCCTAAATTGGTGGAAAAAAGGACGAAAGCAAAGAAGGAACTGCATGGGACTCGTGAATGTGTACTGATCGGCCAGTCCTGTATAACCCCGGGCGATTTGGAAAGCCCTTTGGTCCGAGCCAACTCGGATGATTCCAAACAGGCTTGCCTATTCTTCAATCACTTATCTATAATTGGGGTCTACTAAATATCGCCTTGTTTGTTTTTAGATTGTGGGAAATTGCCACTTGCATTTGGTTACAAGGGCTGACTCGACAGATATATGGATTTCCGCATTGAATAGATATTTCACGGTTTGGGACTTTAGTTGTAGGGCCGTTCCCCTCTACTACAGCTTGAGCAATATATAATTTAGAGGCAAGAGGCGTCATGTTTCCACACACACACTCTCTCTCTCTAATGAGCACCCTCGGGAGTATGGTTTACCTCAATTCCCTGGGTCAAAAGATAAGATTTGGTGAATCTTTTCAATATGAAATTTTGGGGACCGCTTACTAATTACTTTATTAATATCAAAAAAATAAAAAAAGAAATTTAAGCTTTCTAACAATTAGATTTCACCATTTAAGAATTGGATGGTCTCTATTCAATCACGAAACTTTTTTCTGTTTTTTCAATACTCGGGGCTACAACTAGGATTTTTTTTTTTATCAAGGACCTTAAAATTGATTCAAGGTGGGATTTTACTTTGAGTAAATTTATTTGAGGGAGTAGAATATCTTTTGGCCTCTGATATATTCTAGTTTAAATGATTAGGCTGGCTTGGTCGAGTCGAGCCGTCAATGTAAGACCTGATCGTAGGTCAGGCAACCGTGTTGAAAAGAAGGTCCTGGTATAGGCAAGACCGGACCCTGGTTGGCTGGAGGTGAAGTAGTTCGAAACTTTTATAATGAATGGAAATGTTTTGATAGACGTCCAATTTTATGATAATTCTTCCCAATATATTTTATGGAGCAGAATGGTATATTAGGATTCGTATAGTCAATTTTAATTAGTTGAAAAAAAGTTTTGAGGATGGTGATTAGGGTATTTCTTTCAAATTATAATGAATTTTTCTGAAAAGGGCATTGTATTTTGTTGTCCCCTCCCTTTCTTTTTGAAAATGTCAACGTAAAAATTGATATTAAAGTTATTTGTAACAAATAAGGACTTTCTCTTCTCTTCCCTCTCTGACTTATTGCCAAACTCATTTCACCCGTCTTGTGGATGTTCTCCTCCTGGCTCTCAGGTGGATCTGCTCTCTCTCTCTCTCTTTCAAGAGAGGGTGAAATGGGTTAGTGAGGTATAAAGAGGAGAAGATAGTTCTTATTTGGTATAAATAATATTATTAATTTTAGTTTTCAGGCAAAATGTGAGAAACAAGGGGAGGGGATGAGAGGGTGCTATAATATTTCCACCAAAAATTTATTGCGTCTTGAAAGAAAAAATGTGTGAGAGAGGCTATGTAAAATTGAAGTGAAAATTGAAGGTCACCACAAATTTTTTTCTCAATAATAATCTTATTAACTGCTTTTCTAGTAGTTGAATGACTTATTTATCCTAGGAATAAGTAATTTTATTATAATCCATTTCTTATATAGATAGGGTGTGGTTTGTGTAAGGTTGCCTCCTTAATCAGTCAACATGAGTGCACCTCCAATCGTCATGAGATGCAATTTTGGTGTAAATTTTTTTTAGGATGGTGTGAAAATATATTTTTATCTCAAGTTATAAAATTTTAGACTTAAAAAAAACAAATTTATAAATCTATGAAAATCTTGAAAATAAACAGTACATATAATTTATTTTAAGATATATTAGTTTTAGGATTTGAAATCTCTTTTTTTACATCTCGAAATTGAGATGATCTATTAGATATTTTTCCAATGTCAAATAACTGTTTTCAAAACACATTAAGAATTGCACATAATTCTGTATTTTAAGGTGTCTTATATATATATATTCGATATTTTTCCAATGTCAAAATAATTGTTTTCAAAAACCATTAAAGAAATTGTCAACATAAATTCTGTATTTTTAAGAGTCGTGGAGGGTCAAGGCACACAGGGGATAAGGG